AGGCATGAAGTTTGACAATTCTAAAGGTGTGCGTGAGCATATAATGGAAATGAGAGACATTGTTGCTCATCTTAAATCCCTGGAGATAGAGATTTCGGAGTCATTCCTTGTTCATCTCGTTTTGAACTCTCTTCCTACGGAGTATGGTCCATTTAAAATATCATAGAACACACATAAGGAAAAATGGACTGTGAATGAATTCCAAACAATGTGTGTCTAAGAGGAAGAGAGGCTAAAGCATGAAAAGTTGGAAAATTGCTCATCTGACAACTCATGATAAGGAAAATGAGAACAAGGGTAAATACTGTCCTAAAATGAGGAACACAATGCTGATGAAACAAAAGGGTAATAAGAATGTCTATTTTTTTTTGCAAGAAAAACGTGCATATGAAGAAGGACCGTTTCAAGTATATAAAATGGCTCGAAAATAAAGGTACTCTTATCTTTCTAGTGTGTCATGAATATCTTTTAGTTAATGTTCCAAACAATACATGGTGGATTGATTTAAGTACTACAAGTCACATTGTCAATACTATACAGGGCTTTCTGGACCTAAGGAAGCTGCAACCAAGTGAACAAAGAGTCTATTCTAGAAACCAGTTGAGTTCAACTGTTGAGGGCGTGGGAATCTTTCAATTAGTTTTAAATTCTTGTTTTCATTTAGATCTTAAAAACACTTTTTATGTTCCAAGCTTTTCTCATAATTTAGTTTCTATTTCAAGATTAACACCTTTGAATTTCAAGTCTGTATTTGAAAACAGAAGCTTTAGCTTATTTCAAAATTTAGTTATTATTGGACATGGTATTTTGGTTGATAATTTATATAAATTTGTTTTGGATCCCACTTATGAGTGTAACTTATTCGAATTGTATGGTGATGGATTGACAATAAGCGTTGTATTGTTAAAGAGAACTCGTCTAAGTTATGGCACATGATATTGTGACATATTGCCATAAGGAGGCTTAAAAGATTAGTAAATGATGGAGTTTTACCAACTCTTGACTTTACTAATTTTGGGACTCGTATTGACTGCATAAAAGGAAAGCAGACAAACAAGACCACTAAAGGTGCCAAGAGGAGTTCAGACATTATTGATATTATTCACATAGATATTTGTGGACTTTTTCCTGCTCCATGTTTAAATGGTCAGAGATATTTTATCTCATTCATAGATGACCATTAAAGATATATGTATCTCTATCTTCTAAATCATAAGGATGAGGCACTAGATGCTTTGAAGATTTATAAAGTTGAAGTAGAGAAACAAAAGGAAAGAAAAATCAAAATTATAAGGTCAATTAGGGGTGGAGAATATAATGGACAGTACACAGAAATGGGACAAATGCCAAGTTCGTTTGCTAAGTTTTTAACAGAACAATGTATCGTAGCACAATATATAATGCCAAGCACACTACAACAAAATGGTATAGCTGAAAGTAGAAACATGACCTTAATGGACATAGTTAGAAGCATGGTGAGCAATTCAAGCCTATCTCTGAATCTGTGGAGTGAAGCCTTAAAAACTGCTGTATATATCTTAAATACGGTTCCATCTAAGGCAATTCCAAAAATGCCATTTGAAACTTGGAATGGATAAAAATCTAGTTTGAGACATATATATATTTGGGGTTGTCCAGTTGAAGTGAGAGTTTACAATCCTCATATAAGAAATTTGACCCAAGAACAGTTAATGGATTTTTCATAGGCTATCCAATAAACTCCAAGGGCTATAAATTCTATTGTCCTACGCACACTCCAAGGATTGTCAAAGCTAGAAATGCAAAATTTTTAGAGGATCATGAAGTGAGTGGGAGTGAGTTTCCTAGAAATATTGATTTTTGGGAAATGAACGAATCTGTTGGGTCATCTTCCAATCCGAGTTTATTGATTCCTTTTAGAAGAAAGAATTCAAGTACAATTGGAAATGAACCAATTCAAGAACAACCGTTACTAAATGAGAAAAACACAGAACAAGAACCCTCACTCAATGTTGAACCTATTACTACTCAAAACATGCAAAATCAAGATGAGATAGTATGTATAAGAAGATCCTCAAGAATAAGGAAACCTGCAATTTCTAAGGATTATGTTGTATATCTTCAAAAGTCCGATACATGTGTTGAACTTGACAATGATCTTGGATCGTTTTCACAAGCTATTGAGGGAGAAAATTCAAGTTTTTGGTATGATGCCATGAAGGAAGAGATGGAATCTATGGCTTAAAAATCAAGTTTGGAATCTCGTTGAATTGCCAGATGGACATACAGCCATTAGTTGTAAATGGGTCTATAAGACCAAAAGAAATGCATCTGGCACCATAAAACAATATAAGGCTAGACTTGTAGCCAACGGTTTCACTCAAAATAAAGGTATCGATTACCATGAAATATTTTCTCCAGTTTTTAAGAAATATTCATTTAGAATTATAATGGCTCTAGTAGCTCATTTTCATTTGGAGCTACATCAGATGGATGTCAAAAACAGTATTCTTGAATGGGGACCTTGAAGAAGAAGCATACATGAAACAGCCTGAAGGATTTGCTAGGAAAAAGGTAATCACGTGGTTTGCAAATTAAGAAAATCTATATATGGGCTAAAACATGCTTCCCGATAGTGGTAATTAAAGTTTTACAATGTTGTTACTTCATATGGTTTTACAAAAAATATCATTGACCAGTGTATATATCTTAAAATTAGTGGGAGCAAATACATATTTCTAGTCCTATATGTAGATGAAATTTTACTGGCAAGCAGCGATTTGGGAATGCTACATGACACAAATCGATTTCTTAGTCAAAATTTTAAATGAAGGACATGGGTGAAGCCTCTTATGTAATTGGCATAGAGATTGACAGAGACAAATCTAAAAGGTCATTAGGATTGTCTCAAAAGGCTGACATTGAAAAAGTTTTGGAAAGATTCAGGATGAAGGATTGTGCATCAAATGTAGCACCCATCGTTAAAGGTGATAAATTCAGTCAGAATCAGTGTGCACTAAATGATTGGAAAGAGAGCACATGATTTCTAGACCCTATGCTTCTGCTATTGATACTTTGATCAATCCAGGTATAAAACATTGGAAAGTTGGTAAGAAAGTGATAAGGTATCTACAAGGAACCAAAGACTACAGACTTACATACATTCTAAAAATCTTGAAGTTGTTGAATATACAGATTTATATTTTGCTGGATGTGTTGTTCAGGATGCATTTTTCTTCTAGCTGTATCTTGGAGAAGCAGCAAGCAGACTATAATTGCATCATCTACCATGAAAGTATAATTCATTGGTTTCTATAAAGCTACAACACGGGCATTATGGTTGAGAAAATTTTGTCAAAGGCTTAAGAGTTGTCGATAATATAAAAAAGCCTTTGAAGATTTATTGTAATAATTCGGCTGCAATTTTCTTTTCAAGAAATAATAAAAGTTGAAGTTGAAGCAAACATATCGACATAAGATATCTGGTTGTCAGGGATCATATAAAGAAAAATGAAGTGGCCATTGATCACATCAAGACGGATCCCATGACTAAAGCCTTGTCGGCTAAAGTTTATAAAGCTCATGTTGAGAATATGGGACTTATGTGCTTAGTTGATACTCCGATGTTCGATTTTTACGATTGTTTTTTGTATTCGAAATAATGTTATTAGTGCACTTAAAGTTTGTAATTTAGATATCTATTATGGTTATTAAAGTTTAGACCTTGAATGACTTATAGGAAGTTCATTCATAAAGTAAAGTATTCACTAGAGGTGATCATACTTGTAATACATGGAAGGAAATGTTCGACTATTAAAACAAGACCACCATGATTCAAGTATTGTGAATTTCTACTTGAGTAGGTTATTAGTTGTGTTAAGCATATGGCCATATTAAATACCCACTTTAAAATTAATCATTGAACACGTGGACTAAGTGGGAGTATGTGAACCGTTTGTGACCCAGATGGTCAATATAAAATGAAATAAATTTAATCTTCGAAAGTGGGTTAATTAACTGCCTAGAAAACTTCCCATTTGATTATTGGAAGGAAGTTACTGCCAGAAAAACCTACCCACTTCTATGATGGATGGAAGTTGTTTGGTGATTGCCTATATATTTGCCAAAAGGGTCCCTAACCAAAAAGCCGTACAAAATCCCCACAGTATTTTATCTCTTAAAGAAAGTCTTGTATTTTATTCCATCAAATTAAAAGGAATTCTCAAATGGGTTTTGGCCAGAAGATCGTTGGTGCTGTAGAGACCTGTTTCCACTGCAAACTTTCAACTAAACCTTGAATAACATGGTTGGAGGTATGTTTTAAGTTTCTTACATTGTATACCCGCGATGCACATTGAAAGGCAAAAATACTTCTAGGATGCAATGTAACTCAAACATTTGCGTCATAACTAACAAAAACAATTCAAACACTAAGGAGATAAGAAGTCGAGATATGTCTTAAATTTCTTACACTGTATACCCGTGATGCACATTGAAAGGCAAAAATACTTCTAGGATGCAATGTAACTCAAACATTTGCGTCATAACTAACAAAAACAATTCAAACACTAAGGAGATAAGAAGTCAATCTCGAAAGATTTGTATTCTTCATTGTTGTATTTATAGAAATAACAAACTTTAGAAGCTTGAAGTGAGAGTTTGGCAGAATTTCACTTACGATTTTTATAAAAGGCGATAACATCCATTTGACAAATTTATAAAGTAACTTATTAAGAGAAATAATAGTGAATCCTACAAAATGTGCAATTAATAATGATAGTTATTAAGAAAGTATGAGTAAAATTAATATTTAATTTTGACTGAATTTAGAAATCAGCTTCTAAATTTTCATCACTATTTGAATTTAAGATATTTGCATGTCGTGATATCTTTTTTTTTTATAAAGTTGAAACTAATATAGAAGAGACATTTTTAAATTTACACTTGCAACTCTCACCTCCACCACACCTATGGGTCTGTTGGATTCAAAAAACAATAACTAGTTTAGTTATTTGAAAACAATGGAGAAGAAACTATATGAAGCAGTGATAGAGGGCAATGTAGAATCCTTGCTTAAACTTCTCCAAGAAGATGCGTTGATTCTTAATAGATGCATTTTTACATTTTTGGGAGACGCCTTTCCGTGTAGCACCATGCTTGGACATAAAAAATTCGTATTCGCCCTTGTGCAGCAGAAGCCTGAACTAGCTAAGGAGTTAGTTCATCACCTCTTCATTTAGCAACAGCAAAGGGACATGTCGAAATTGCTAAACAATTGGTTTTCGTCAATCCACAAACATGCTTTGCTAGTGATGGATATGGGAAAAATCCAGTTCATGTTGCAGCCATGAAAGGCAGGAATCGTAATCATCGATAGATTTGATAATGGTATGGCGACATTGCTGATATGGCGATAAAGTGAATGATCCTTGTTAGAAAATCCATAAGGTTCTTAAGGCAAAAGAGGGAACGTCAAGACTCGATCCACGTCAACAGCAGCACAGTTTAATATATATCAAAAGACTGCATTTGTCTATTGTTCTCAAAGAAAAAAGTAGACTCTGCATGTCCGCTCTTTTTTCTAATCGAAGATCGACATATATTGTTCTATGTATTCAAGGATAATATTACTATTGGTTCTTTAGATCCACAAAATACTACTATTTTTATGCCGTTTTATATCTCATATTTCTATCTCACGTGAACTGTGAAGTGCCACTTGCTACATATTATTCCCAGTCTTTCATTTTTCACGACCAAAATGTAATAAATAGATAAAAATTGTTCTTCGGATTTCCCTGTATTGCCGGCCCTTTATATTCGTAGACAAAATGTGCATCCAAGCATGATGAAGTAAATTTTGTGGACTCTAGCTATTTGGGCTTAATTAACCTTATATGCATAATTAAAATCTTGTAGAATCCAACATGTAGGACAATCTATATCTCCATCAACTTGGTGAATTTTTATCTGGTAATTTATCGCATCTGTTGACTTCTTTACTAGTAGAAAGACTAGTTCAAAGAATCCTAAAACATATTTACATCGATCATCGCCTTTCATTTGGCGGTTGCTAAAGGTTATCTTGAAGTAGTAAGAGCTTTGTTAACAGCTAATCCTGCAATGCGCCTAACTTGTGATAGGAACGGACTAGCCCCTGTCCACCTAGCAGCGATAAAAGGACGGGTCAATGTCTTACAAGAGTTGCGTCGAGCAAGACCGACTGCAGCCCTAGTGGCTGTTCATGGAGGGAAACCATTCTGCATTTGTGTGTGAAACATAATCAGATAGATGCTTTGAAGCTTATAGTGAAGAGTATTGAAGATTATGAGCTCGTAAATTCTAAAGATAATGATGGCAACATTGCCTTACATTTAGTAGTGGCTGATAAGCAAGTTGAGGTATGCTTATTCCACTGTCTTCAAGCTTCATTAGTATCATAAAGTTGATTTCTTTGCGCTCTGCCAACAGTTACTCTAGTCCTATATAAAATAGTGTAGAGCCTAATGTGCTAAACATTTATCCCTCGATCGCTATTGTAATCTGTGGATCATATACAGTGGAACACGTGTTTATTGAAATAAATAGGTCAATGTTGGAGTGGAGTGGAGTGAAGGGAGAGGAGAAAACCTACAGCAGCAGCCATCAAGGGACATAATTTCTTTGTGCTCTGCCAACAGTTACTCTAGTCCCTTAGATAGAATTTTATGTTAGTTTGTGTAGAGCCTAATGTGCTAAACACTTGTCCCTCGATCGCTGTTGTGATATGTAGATCATATAAAGTGGAACATGTGTTTACTCAAAATAAATAGGTTAATGTTGGAGTAGAGTGGAGTGGAGTGAAGGGAGCGGAGAAAACCCACAACAACAGCCATCAAGGGACGTAATTCTCACATTGAGATAAACCACTAATAGGTACCTGTGTCTGATTTGCTTGTCTTATGAATCGGTTCATTTATTTTTGCTAATAGATGTGAGGAAATATAATATTGAATTGAACCAAAAGATCAATGAAACAAGGCAAGTTATTAGTGTAGCATACTGAATTTGAACCTGAAATCTGTCTTATGTTTTACTTTGTTGATAAAATTTCAAACTATGTGTAGGTCATACATTTTTTGCGTACGAGCATTACAGTCGAGGTGAATGCACCGAATCACAATGGCATAACAGCAATGGACATTCTGATTCCTTATAAGTGCTCTAGCTTTTGGAAAAATGAAAGATAATTCAACATCATATGTTCATCAATGCGTGGCACCTCATTGTTGTCTTAATACTCTGATAACCAGAGATCGACCTTAAACAAGTAGAAGACCAGTTGGAGTTATTCAAGGAGCAGGATGATTGGATGGAGAAAAAACGAAGTGCGTTAATGGTGGTGGCTTCACTAATTGTGTCATGGCATTTCAAGTTGGAGTGAACCCTCTTGGTGGTATTTGTCAAGATGATAAAATAGTTGGTTCGCAAGGTAGCTTGGTCTCATGTTCACGTAACGTGGGGACTTCTATATATGCAACTTACTATCCTCAAGGATACAGAGCATTCTTGATTGTTAACACGACAGGCTTCATTGCATCCCTCTTGCTAATGAGTGGTTTACCTATACGTCGAAGATTATTCATATGGATAAGAATGATTAAAATCCACCTTAATTTCAGTGGTGTATCGTATTGCATTATATAGAGCTTTACAAGATAGTATAAATGGAATACAAATCAATAATTTACAATGAAATGGAAACCGTGCAAATGAAATGAAAATCGTGTAAATTAGCCTCCTTCAATTACGTGATTGGCCTTGGCATGCTATGGGAAGATTGTGATTGAGGAGTAATATCCTCAATCACAGTATTATTTCCAACACCCCCCTGCAAGCTCAACGTCGGATTTGATCGGACACGGAGCTTGGAACGAAAGAGCTCAAATAGAGGTCGAGGAACACTCTTTGTAAAGATATCAGCAACTTGTAGATGAGATGGGACATATTCTGTACGAAGTTTTCCCGCGACAACAAGCTCACGAAGAAAGTGGTAGTCCAATTCAACATGCTTGGCCCGCTTGTGTGAAATCGGATTGGAGCTTTAAAAAATGGCACTTTTGTTGTCACATAAGAGAGTGGGCTGCTGAGGCATGGATACCTTGAGGTCATGCAGGAGATGTGTGAGCTAAATGAGTTCAGCGGCAGTGGAGGCAAGGGCACGATACTCAGATTCATAGCTGGAATGAGAGACAGTCGGCTGTTTCTTGGCACTCCAGGAAACTAAATTGTCGCCAAGATAGATAGAATAACCAGAGATCGAACGATGAGTATCCGGGCAGTCGGCCCAATCAGCATCAGAATAGGCTACAAGAGCACCAGGAAAAGTGGAAGGGCGAAAATGTAGGCCATAGTGAATTGTGCCTTTAACATAGCGGAGGATGCGTTTAACAGCCAGAAAGTGATCATCAGTGAGAGCGTGTAAGAATTGACTGACAGAGTTGACAGCATGAGCAATGTTGGGCCTTGTGATAGTCAAGTACTGTAGTGCACCGACGAGGGATCTATAGAGAGTAGGGTCTGAAAACAGAGAACCATCAGCAGAAAGATGTTGAGAAACAACCATGGGCGTGTGAACAGGTTTACTGTCAAGTAATTGAGCTTGAGTAAGAATGTCCCGTGCATATTTGAGCTGACTGATGAAGAGACCATCAGAAGTTGGAGTGGCTTCAAGACCAAGAAAATAGCTGAGAGAGCCTAAGTCTTTAGTGACAAACTCAGAGTTAAGTGTACGAGTGAAGCGGGCAAGAAGTGAAGAATTGTTGCCTGTAATAATGATATCATCAACATAAAGAAGTAAATAGATAATATCGGACTTCTGATGAAAGACAAATAGAGATGTGTCCGCACGGCTGCAAGAAAACCCAAGGCAAATAATAAAGGAGCTAAAACGTTGAAACCAAGCACGAGGGGCTTGTTTGAGACCATAAAGAGCTTTCTTCAACTGGCAAACATGGTCTGGAAAGCGAGGATCAATATATCCTGGAGGCTGTTCCATATAAACTTGATCAGTAAGAGTACCATTGAGGAATGCATTTTTGACATCAAGTTGATGAAGGGGCCATTTTTGTGTAACAGCGAGAGAGAGTACAACCCGAACAGTAGTAGCCTTGATTACGGGACTAAAAGTATCAGTATAGTCAAGACCAGGGACCTGTGTATAACCTTTGGCAACAAGGCGGGCTTTAAGGCGCTCAACAGATCCATCAAGTAAGTATTTGGTTCGGAATACCCATTTGGAGCCCACAATGTTGGTGTTGGCAGGGCGAGGTACCAAAACCCAGATGCGATTATTCTGTAATGCATGAATTTCTTCATCCATGGCAGCAAGTTACGCAGGATTTTTAACAGCAGATTTGAAACATTTGGGCTCAGTCGATGCAAAAAGAGCAGAAAGAAGACCAGAAGAGCCCAAGAAACTAAGATTGGCTGGATATCGAGTCTTGAAAATGCCAGCTTTAGCTCTTGTAAGCATAGGATGAGTGGCCAACGGGACCACAGCAGTAGGTGTGGGATCTGCACCAGGTTCAAGAGGAGATGAACTTGGAACCGAGGTCTGTAAAGAGGCACCTGCAAAAGAATGAGGATCCTGCAAAGACTCAATCACTGGATCAGTACACATAATACATGGATTAGAACTGGATTGAGTGAGTTGTGAAGAACGAGTGTCAGGGAGTGGGGGAGGTGGATCTGTATGGGTGAGGCTAGGTTCCAAAAAATTGGAAAAGTTAAGGGAGGATATGGGTTGAGCTTGAGAGGTAGCAATGGAAGGAAAATGAGTTTCATCAAATTGAGCATGGCGAGTAATATAGAGCTTAGAGGTGGAAGGCTCGAGGCAACGAAACCCTTTGTGAGAGGGAGTGTAACCTAAGAAAATACATGGGATGCTGCGAAGAGAAAATTTGTTAGGCATATAATCTCGTAAGCAAGGATACACACAACAACCAAAAGGGTGAAAGTTTTCATAGTTCGGAGGGTTACCATACAAAATCTCAAAAGGTGATTTACCTCCAAGGAGTGGTGTAGGCAAGCGGTTGATGATGTAAGCTGCAGTGCTGAACGCGTCAACCCAAAAGCGAGGAGAAATGTGGGAGTGAAAAAGGAGTGTTAATCCCATCTCAGTTACATGGCGATGTTTTCTTTCAGCACGACCATTTTGGGCGGGTGTGTATGGACATGAGAGCTGATGGTGAATGCCGCTAGAGCGGAGATGATCTTGGAAGAAATTACTGGTAAATTCACCACCGCCTTCACTTTGGAAAATTTTAATTCGAGTGGAGTATTGATTTTCCACAAATTTTTGAAATTGAATAAAAACATTCTAAAAGTCAGATTTCAATTTTAAAGGATAGAGCCACGTGAAACGAGAATAGTCATCGATAAAAATAACATAATAGAGAAATCCTAAATTAGATTTGACTGGAGACGGACACCAA